GTAATAACATAATCAAGAAACATAAGAAATCAGGGGGTTATGAAGGCTCACTAAGTTGGTTCAAAGAACCAGCACCAAGAAGAATAGATTTGAAGACTCTACAGGCACCTAGCTAGCAGTCCAATCGTCCAATTAGTTCACTAGGAACAGGTTCCTCTCAAGAAACACAAACAGAGAAAGAATTAATGGCCGAATCAGAAAGGAATAATAATAATAATAAATAGGGTTAGGGTTTCTACAATTTCAGATTGATCCAAGTATGCCAACTGGAAATTAATTTTCCAGAGACATTCACATGATCGAAGACTCAATGAGGCCTTACACACGCTCTAATACGACTTGTAAGGAAATAAACCAACGGAAGCAGAAATATATTCACTAAGAATAAACCAAGAATTTCACAACACCAAGTTGTATATCAAATCATAGGGCTTAGAATTTCATTTCACCCTTTAGTACATTGAAACAGACATCAGAAAACACCAAACCTTACTCAATGGACCCCTAATCTATTCACCACAATGGTTACTCAATGGACCGAAGAAAACACAGGGTCAAACCAACACTAAGAAACTCTCTCTCGAACAACCACGAAGGCATCAACCACACAGGTTGAAGATTAAAACCAAATGTTTAAATCTATACACAAAGTATCACTAAGAAACAAGAAGAGAGAGCACGAAGAACACCGAAGGACAGAAAGATCCAGAAGCTCTCACACGCGAAGGAGAGAAACAACAGTGAAAAAGATCTGCCCCAAATGACGCTTCAACTGGTATATATAATATCATGCATCAGCCGTTAAATCAACCAAGGAATCAACGGTCCAGAACAGCTGCAAGTGGGAATAGATTTGGGCCAGTTTCTTTATGTTATCGGGCAATGGTAAATAACATTCCAGCAATGGGCAGACCCAATTCATCGTTGGCCCAGTGTTAGAAAGTAAATATCACAAATGGCATCAAATTCCAACAAACACAAACCTCTTCACTCGGCTTATGCCGAGTTATGATCACCATCTGATTCCTGCCACTCCGCTCCAGTCAGTTTGCAGTAGAC